CTGAGACAAAATCTGGAATATCCTTTCTAGCTACTGTTGCCCACAAGATCCTTGGTGACCTTTAGCTCCACAGTTTTTCCTTTAAAGATAATCTCTGGTTTTTATACTGTTTAATCTTATTTTGTATGTGTAAAAATCTGAGGGTAGAAAGACAGCCCTGGAACAGGGTTATCTGTGCTGGACTATAAACTCACACTCTAGGGAAAAATAAAACTCCTGAAACATCAAGAAGTTTGAGAATCACAGGATACTGAGGCTCAAAAGACAAGGATCTAACCCAATAGTCTTATTTTCAGATGAGGGAAGTGAATCGTATACAAAAAGTGTATCAATTTGTCGGAAGTAACACAATTAGTTAGATGACCATAACCTTTCCATAGTTTACTAAAAAAAAAAAAAAAATGTATTTTAGGCAATGCACTTTAAAAACATTCTTCTCCTACAGAAATTCTTTTTAAGGACAAGAACAACAACATTCCTCAAAGTTTTCTGTACAAATCCGTCTCTTAGTGTAGAAATGGACCCGAGTGTAACTAAAGGTATGGCTCATGGTCAGAATCACAACTATTTTTAAGGTGATCCATACCTGGAACAAGCCTCAAAACAGTTGATCAAATGCACTATGTTAAAGCTACTTTTGCACTATTTAATGGCTAACATTTACTGAGTGCTTACCATGCATTAGGCACTGTATAAAATGCTTTGCCCCATGTGCTAGACAGCAGAAATGCTCTATAGGGTTTTCTTGCCCACAATCTTTACGGAAGCTGATTGCCAGGCCTTTTTTCTGTGGTGCCGCTGGGTGGGTTCCAACCACCAACCTTTAGGTTAGTAGCCGAGTGCAAACATTTTGAATGACTCAGGGGCCGAAAATGTTTTGCATGTACTATGACATTTACAAAAATTGAAATGAAAGCTTTAAAAAAAAATCCATAGCTTAAACAATGGTACTTAGTTAAAATACAATAAATTAAAAAAACAAAGTTGCCGTTGAAGTCGATTCCGACTCATAGCGACCCTACAGGACAGAGCAGAACTGCCCCATAGGGTTTCCAAGGAGCACCTGGTGGATTCAAACTGCCAACCTTTTGGTTAGCAGCCATAGCTCTTAACCAGTACGCCACCAGAACTTCCACAATAAATTAAGGAAACCCTAAAAAACCATGATTCAAAGAACATAACATAAATAAAATTCTATAAATTATCAGTAAGACAAATTCCCACCTCCTCCCACTAAACAGCCAATAGCTTTCTTCATTTCCTAAAAACAAGACCATCTTCACCACCTCCAAGTTACAAAGTCAGAAATACAGCTCAGACTCAGGAAACCCAGACAGTATTTCTTGCTGTCTCACACACACTCAAATACAAATTCAAGAATAATTTTAAAAATATTGTTTTACCACTATAACAATCTTTTTAATGAAATAACAGAAAACATCCTCTTAACTACTTCAACGCCTCAATTTTTGAATATTCCAAGAATGCTACTACACAATACAAAATCAACAAAGCTACTCCCTCCTGATTTTTTTTTCATAGGATTATGGCACAGTTTGCATTAAAATACACCTCTTGGTGAAGTGGAAATGTGAAGAGGGAAAAAAGGTATTAGATTAGAAGGTAAAGGTTCTATTAGCTTCATCTTGTTGCTTGATGCTTGTAAAATTTTTTAGAAGATAATAATTCTATGGCAGAACAACTTTTCTTAGAGCTAGATAAGCTGCTATCAGTTAGTAAAGCGACTATTTATCCACCAACGAGAAGAGAGCTCTCAAGAGTTGTACTCCCATACCATTTCCTACTGGGAAACCTGTTACAAATCCAGAGAGTCCTACGTTGATAAGGCATGTATGTTCATATCTTAAAGACACTTAATACTTTTCCTGTCTTCTTTCAAAGGATATAATAAAAACTTTATTTTATTGTTTCTTAAAATCAGAGGAGGCAAGTTTAATGGGTTAAATTTGTACACATTTTCTCTGTTCTTTCCTTAGTACCTTATCAAAAAAATTTTTTTAAATGTTTATTTTGGAAGCATATTTACTAAGCTGAAAATTTTTTTAAGAATAGTTTGATGGAGTCAGTTTAAAAGACTTGTTTTTCAAAGTAGTTAGCTTTTGGACAATGTAAGAAAAATCTAATTTGTCATCAACTGACCAAAAATTCGATAAGTAGCTCCCTCTCCTGGAAAAAAATAAAAGTTGTGAGCTCCTCTTTAAGCTGTAAAACAGACACAAAAACACACCCTTAAAAATGTTTCTAAAAATACATGAACCAAAATATATATCTATATAGCCAAAACTGAATGGCAGTGCTTCTACCATTATTAATCAATATCCTACTACTTTTTATAACTGCTATAAAAAAGCTCTATAGAAACCTATAGAAATACTAAAACTACAGATTTGCCTAGCTAACAAAAAGTAATGATTATCATTTGACTTACTATATAACAATCTCTGTACCTGATTAAAGAACTGAGTTTCCTTTCATTTTAGTTGTTTTATACCATCATCAAACCTCAATACTGTTTATATTTCTTATCTCACTAGTTTTTACCAAGAATCAAGTGGTTCTATAAAGTAGCAGCTCTATGAAGATCTGTTGTTTAAAAACAAGTCTTCTTATTCTATTTGCTTTTAAAAACAAACAGCAATGTGACTGACTGGTGCTAATGATCCCCAATTTATATTTCACACAATATGTAATTAGCTATGACGTACCATTAAAAATGCAACTTATAAATGTTACAGTCTACAACATTGATACATATTTCTTTATATACCAAAAACAAACCCTATAACCCACTCACAGCAATTGGGTCACCAAGATTAAATTTCAAGAATATACTTGTACTTTTTTTTAAAAAGCTATTGTTTATCGCTAAAGATGAAAACAGAAGAAGAAAGTCAAGTTTGAGGGTAAGAGTTATAGGAAAAGAAGATATACTTAACTATCTCCACCCTAAAGTAAACTGAAAATACCAAGACAAGTTCAACTTCAAAAAAATGTAGACTTCATGAACAAGGACCATTTACCTTAGTGTAAATCAAATACTAAAGTTTCTAATTTTCAGATGTCATGATGTTTATTAAAAAGCTGGATATACAATGTTCTTAAAATATTAGTTCTAACATTCATTGTTTCTGACATCAATACTCAGAATTAACTGATAAAAATCTTTCGTTAAATAGAAGCCAGAATTTTAAGTGCAGGAAATGAGTATTTAATTTTTTCCCAAAATACTTAGATAGCTTCTTATCAAATTTTCAGGCCCTTGAGAATTTGACAGACTATCCACTCCAGCAAAGTACACCACTAAATGTTTCTTCAGGGACCAATCTTGCTAATATAAACAGTAAGATTTCTATTTTTGAAATAAGAAAGGTCATTTCAAAGAAAAAATTTAAGAATTTCAATTCAAGTGTGTATATATGATAAATACGGACTTAACCTCTAGAGGTTTATAGTTTTGGAACTACTGAATAAGGTAGATTTCTTCCAGGAAAGTTTAACTAGTTTTATACATCATTCACTGATAGGAGATACAGCAGAATATTTTAAAATTAACTGCACTTTAAAAATTAACCCATTACATAATCCTATTATACCTTAAAATTTACTAAAGCCCACATTAAAATTTTGTTAATAAGATAAAATATTTTGTGTTAAAATTATTTGGCTGAATTAAGCAAACGAAGCTTGTTTCTTTTAGCAAAGTTGGACAGCGAAGAACTTGAGAAAAGCAAGTGATATAAACACTGAACACTCCTACTCACGCAGTTTAGATTTAAACAAGAAAAAAACCCTGCACAAACCCTCCAGCCATCACTGACATTCTTTGCGCAGAAAGGGCGTGAACTATAACAAAATTACTTGTGATTAATTTTAAGTCATGTATTTTTCCTTATATTGAAATACAGCAAAATTGGCATGGAAAAAGAGAATGACAACTTTTCTTATGGTTATCAGAAAGGCTCAAAGCCCCAGAGTTGTAACCACTATCCAACGGCAGGACAGTAAGGAGGGGGCGGGATGGTGCAGAAACTCAAGTGACTATTCTAAAGGTTAACAGGCTTTTGTTCTGGTTTTTGTTTGCTGTCACCAGCAAAAAGACCCCAACCTATACCCCTCAAATGCACATTTTATTTTTAAAATAAAGTCACGAGATAGCAAACAACTCCATTCATAAAGTCAGAATCTCCTTCCTCCGTTTTTCTCCCTGGTCTAACATTCTATCTCTTTCCTTAAGTTTAATCCTCTAAAATCAGATGAATACGGCGGGGCACAGTATCAGGATGAAAATGTCCGTCTTGGCCTTAAGCCTTTCCAGCTCCAAGTCCAACGCTGCCTTAGTTTTTTCCTTCTTCTCTAATCCTACCTAAACCAGGGCCCTTGTATTAACCCCTACTCCTGATCACTGTCCCCGTTCTCTGACCTTCTCTTGCCCAACTTGTCCCCAAATTAGCTGCCCGGATGACTGCCAGGTAAATGAAATAGAGAATGAAACAAAGACTTTGGGGCCTAAGTTAGGCCAGCCACCAGGGGTAGTAAAGGGACGAACAAACACGTATAGCAGCACTTGAAAGAACTAAAAGGTCCAAGAGAGCGTGAACTGTCTGCGCCGTACAAGTGCAAGACCCTGTGGATAAAGGGAGAAAGGCCAGGAGGAGAGCGGAAGGAAACTCGCTGGAGAGAGACATTTTGGGAGCGTTCGAAACGCACTCCCTCTGCCGTTGAAGGATTCGCAGTCAAATCCAAGATGTACTAGTGTCTAGGCGACAAGAGCGGTCTCCCCACTAGCCGAGTGGCCCTCCGTAATCCGGCACAGCCCCTCAGAGTTTCCCCCAGCGCCGCCCCCTTCCCACGCCCACAGCCTGGCCCGCCGGGTCAGGTCCAAACTGAGCACCAAGCGCTGGCGGCGCCACTTCTACCGACTCCCGTTCCCACGCGCGGACCCTACGGGCAGGACGCCCCCACCAGAGCTTCGCGCCTACCTGTAGCACCAGCGGCTCGGGGTTGAAGGCCAGAGTCAGCAGCAGCTGCATGCGCTCCGAGTCCTTGAGGTTGCGGAGCAAGAAGCTGCCCGAGTCCTTGGTCTCGGCGTAGCGGCGCACCAGGCGGTCGAGCAGGCGCTGCGAGGGGCAGTGCACCAGATCGGACCAGCCCTCCACCGCCTCGGGCGTGAGCAGCCGCACGTCGCCGTTGAGACGCGCGAACTCGGTCCGGGGCATGGCCTGAAGCAGGTCGCAGCGGGGCCGGCCGGTGGCCCGCTTGCAGATGCTCTGGTCGAGCTGCGCCAGCTCGCGCTGCGAGCCGAGGCGCTTGAGCACCACACGGCGGCGGCCGCCCTCGCGGGGCTCGCCGTACTGCGCGAAGTAGACGTTCTTCACGTTGAGGAAGTCCAGCAGGCGCAGACGGCCCCACGCCTCGAACACCACCTGCCCGTTAAGGAAGCGGCGGCACCAGCTCGTGCCGAAACACGCCGGGCACTTATTGAGCTGCAGAAAGCGCCGGTCGGCCAGCTCGTTGCGCTGCCAAGAGGCGAGCAGCGACGGCGAGTGCAGCACCATCAGCACCAACAGGCTGCCCAGCGCCGCCAGCTTCAGCGAGCGGGAAAGGCGGCCCAGCTTCGGGGGTACCAAGCGCCACATCCCGCCCGCCCGTTCGCCCGCACGAAGAGGGCGAGGGCACCCCCGGGGCGCCCCCGCCGCGCCGAGAACCGGAGAGCGATGTGCAGGGATCCTCTTGCAAGAGAAGGAGCGAGGACGCGGGCTGGGGCGGGAGGCGGAGTGGGTGTGAGAGCGAGGGAGATAGGGAGCGGGAAGGTGCAGACCAGAGCAGGCTGCGACTTCTCCTAGTCACTAGTCTCCACAACTCTGGAGCTCCCTCCTCTGAGCTCCCCGCCCTCCGACTCCGGCGGCGCCTCCTCCGAGCCAGCCAAGTTATAGAGGAGCGGGAGGGGGAGGGAGACAGGGGCCCGACGGCCGCGCGCCCGTGGGCCGCGCGCACGCGCCCTGCTCGCGCAGGGCGCGAGCGCTGCGGCGACGGTCGCCAGGCGGACGAGCGGGATCTCTGAGGAGAATGAGGGCCTCACGGAGGGGAAGAGGAACTGGACTAGCTCGCACTGAAAAGTAGCAACTGTGTAAGAAGGTGGGAAGGAGGATGCGCTCGTGCGTCTCGGACACCGCACGCCCCAGTTCTTACACGCCCGCTTTCCAGAGGCCGGGAGAGGGGCCACGGGGCGGAACCGACGGGGCGGGGCGGGGCGGGCGCGTCGCGCGCCGCCCGGAAAGCGTAAGCGCGGGCTCGCGGGGGCGGTTTTGGAGGCCGTCTGTATTGGGGGGCGGAGCTCGAGCTTTTGGAGGCGGGATAAGCTTGCACGCTCTGGTGGTGAAATGACTTTTAGTAATAGTTCATCTTTTACGACTGCTGAGTCTTACTGGGATCTGTGTTTGCCATGAAGGAAATGGTCCTTTAAGAGAAGAAAAAAAAGAAGAAATGCGGAAGCGTATTGCAGTCCTTCCCCGCTGGAAGAGGCGCGCGGGGCGGGGCCGGAGTGAGCTGGGCAACGTTCTCTCGGAGCCTTAGATGCGTTGGGCGCGCGCCTGGGGGCGGGGCAGGGCCGGGAGCGCCTGGCGGGAGCTCGCGCCCGCGGGCTCGCGCGCCTCACGATAGGGGCGGGGCCTGCGTGGAGACCAGTGGCAAAAGCGTGAGTTGAGGCTAATCAGTGACTCATTGTGGTTATCTTTGGCGTCTGTCGTATCTGTGGAAGCATCTTAAATTTCCCTGAGTGAACTCGCAAAAAGCGAAGTCGCCAAGACACCGTATTAAAGGGAAAATCTAATGGAGAGGGAACCGACGCGGCCCGGTGTCCCCGGGCGTTCCGTCCTAACCGCTGCGAAGAAGCTGGGGATGAGCAGTTCGCAGGTTTGCCTTTGCTCCCCTCCTGTTTCCCCAGCGCAGGAGCCCTTTCCGTCCACCTGGCGAAGTGAATTTCCCGGCGCCGCCCTTGAGGGTCCCTGGGGGACGGGCGGTCTCCTCGCCGGCCCAGGCCTGCCCTTAGGGCCACCACGCGTTGCTGCGGCGGTAACCATGCGGACGTGGGGTCTCCCGGCGCTCCACACTGACACGTTGGCTCAAGACTGCGAAAATAACTGGGAAATGCTGAACTAAAGCAGCTTTGCTTTGATGTTAGAGACCCAGACTCTTAAGTAGTAGCTGCAAATATATAATAGTGTTTAATTTGAGCCTTAGAATAGTTGAAATAAGTGGTTGTGGTTGTTAGTTTGAGGGACAGGTGGTTCTTGATACGTTGTGAAAAGAATCTTAACTGAGTTCATTTTAAAGATTGAACAGTGACTGCCTGCCATGTATGTATCAACTCTTTCCAGGGATTTGATGAGAAACATCTATGCTGGATTATCACATTCACTTTTCGGTATTGTTCTCTCAACAGCTGTTTGATTTTAAAAAGCAGAGACATCGTCTTGAGAAGTACTGTTGAGGTTCATGTTTTCTTCGTAATATGAGAATTTACACTTTGAAAGGAAAAAGAAACATTTAGGCAATTTAAATATATTCAACGGAAAAGTTATTTTTAAGTATTACATTGAAAACAGACAACTGGGGAGATACTGTCTTCAAAGCCTTGTAGAAAGTGGCTACTTAAAAAGTTTGGGTGCTACAACTGCACTTCATGCCACCTTTGGTAGTAGTTTGATTTAAGTTGTCTTCAGGCATTCTAAATAAAACTGCTTCCAAAACCAGATCAAACCCACTGCGGTCCAGTCGACTCATAGTGACCCTGTGCTGGTGGATTGAACTGCCCATCTTAAGAGCAGGGGAACACTTAACCACTGTGCCACCGGGGCTCCAAATAAAACTTAATAGAATTAGGAGCAGAAGCTCAAACAAGGGTTTCTTGTAAAAAAACAAAAAGTTTGGTGTCATTATCAGAAGACATGTGCTGTATTCCAGCTCCACTGCTGTTGAAAGGTAAACTAGCCAAATCATTACTAAACTGCAAATTTCTTATCTCTAGCATATTTTTTGTCTCTGTGTTATACATCTGTTCAATTAATAGTAGATAATCTATGTGGAATTGCTTTGAAACAATAAAAGCACTACATAAAATTTTACTTTTATATTAGAACAAATGATTCCCATTGACATTCTTGGTAATAAACTATTAAAGTGAGAGAATTGAAGCATGGTGAGATACTGTTTAGGTAACTGGTATCAGGATTAAGGAGGTAATTTTCTGTATGGAAGAGGTCTTCGGCATTCTTAAACTATCCTCAGGCCCCTAAATCTTTGGAATAACCTAGGCATCATTTGAAGAGTGGAAGAAAAAAAGTTACTAGTCTATACAAGTTTAATTTTGAAAAATATTTGCTTTGTATCTATATATTTCACATTTGCTTAAAAGCCCTGGTGTTTTTTTTTTCAGTTTTTTAGGCTTATGTTAGGCAAGATAGTCTTCAAGAAGTTAATATTCCTCAAAAGGTGAAAAAAAAATCTTAAAGCCGTATGAGATAAACTCAAGTGTGTTCAAAAGTACCCTCTTAGGGTTTGGGAAAAGACCAGGTGTTAATGTACATTTTCCACCAATCCTATAAACTACAGGATGCTTTCAGCTAATGGATTATAAACTAACATCCAAAGTTCTTCATCATAAGTTTAAATAATGGCAAATAATGCTGTTTAAATGTATTTAGTGGAATTAAATACCATAGTATTTTGATAATCACCATCATCTATTTTTAAAAAGTGAACTAAAAAACAAAAAAAAAAAACCTGTTGCCATCGAGTTGATTCCGACTCATAGCGATCCTATAGGACAGAGCAGAACTGCCCTATAGGGTTTCCAAAGGAGTGCCCGGTGGATTCAAACTGCCAGCCTTTTGGTTAGCAGCTGTAGCTTTTAACCAGTATGCCACCAGGGTTTCCAAAAAGTGAACTAGCTCTTCTTTAATAATTGGAAGTTTTAAGTTGTATTGCTATTCCAACTCCTACAGCAGTGGTTCTGAATTGGGGGCTACTTTGCCTCTCAGGGAGATTTTAAAATGCATTTCTTAATGAAATTAGGCTTTTTATCAGTTAGACTAAGTATCCATGGATGAAGGAGTCCCTGGGTGGTAAAAACGGGAAGCAATCCACTAGTAGCCAAAAGGATGGCAATTTGAACCCACCCAGAAGCACCTCAGAAGACAGGCTGGCAATCTGCTTCCAAAAGTTTACAGCCTTGAAACCCTATGGAGCAGTTCTACTCGGCACACATGGGGTCACCACGAGTGGGAATCAACTCATTGGCAACTAACCACAACAACATCCATGGATGAATATTATTTATGCTAGAATCTGACAGTTCAACATCAATTCTTTTTCTGTTTTTAATTTTTTAGAGATGAGCATGTTGCTTATTTAAGTTGAGAGAAATAAAAGGAGTGTTGATATAGCATCATCACTCAGTTCTTTTTATTCCTTATGAGTTATATGCCCCAAATGATTTACTGTTAGTGATCTGGCATCAATATATTCCTGATGATATATAAACTAAGTTCTCCGGTTTAGTTGTAAGCAAGCATTGGAATCCCAACTTAGAAGATGATTCCTTATCTAGCATTAGAATAATTTTCTCAAAATTGATTCTGTTTAGTGCCCTAGAGGTTGTGATTTCCCGGGACAATGCACCATAGTAGAATTCAAGGTGGGTAAGAGGTGTTCTTTCTGCAAAGGCCAAAAGGGCTCCCTCTGTACAGTGTCTGGTGCAAGTGGTTGTTCAATAGTGTTGGATGGATGGGTGGAAAGATGAACAAACGAAGAATGAACATTTTAGGATTAAATATTATAATTATTCAAGCTAGAAAGGAGGGGTGGTAGCAAGGAAGCTGGTAAGAAGTGGTGCATTCTGAGCAAAAAATAGAGCTAACAGTTTACTCAGGATTTGGATGTGAGAGGAAGGGAAGCATTGGGATTCCTAAGTGGTTTTTGTCCTAACCAACTGGAAGAGTTACCATGTACTGAGATGTGGGAAACTGAAAGGAGGAAGGAGATGATGCAAATATGCACAGTTCCCTCCCTCCATTTTCTGTACTGCTGCATTTGTGTTTCTAAGCCTAGTTTAGGAGTAGAAATGCGTAGTTATCTATCAAAATGTAAATAATATTGTATATAACTCTCAGTCTAATTAAAAGACCTACACAGTCATTTACCCACAGAACGATGGGGTCTTCTCCTTTGTTTCTAACTTATGTACCTAAAATTCAAACACTTGGCTTAATGTTAATTGCAACTCTTCTGTTAAGTAATTGTTAGTTATTTGATTTATGTGCATTAGGAGATGTTTTATAGTTAAAGGTTTTTCTTTTAAAGCTATTCAGTGTTTTAATAGAACTTTAAACACATTTTATTTTATTTGGAAGCAACGACTGTAGGTATTTTCTGGGACAGGTTCAATTCAAATAGTTGGCTCCATTGATGCAAAAAATATTGCTGTCGTCAAACTCATTGTTAGACTTTTGTCAAACTCTTATAAACCATAAGCATGATTTTGCTTGAGACAGTTGAATCACATAGTTTTTTAACTTGGTCAGAATAATGCAAATTAGTTCAAATGCAACTACAACATTATAATTCATGGTTTATATTAATTCACATTAGCATGCAGTGTTAAAAATGTTCCTTTGGCTAGGTAAATCCAGAGAGGCACATTTTTCTCTTGCTCAGTAAATTTTTAAAACTCCTGTTTTTTTCCAGTTTATGTTTCAAAAGAGAAAATAATATATGCAAAGAAAGGAAAATGAACGCCATTTCAAGGTCCTACCGTATCCAGTTGTTAAGATCTTCTGATAGATTAACCCAAAATATTTGTACCTGTGTAAATTAACATTATCGTTTTTTCATTTATGGGTTGGCATACATACTGAACATGTCCCTTACTACAATTCCAAACAAATACAAGTTCTGAAGGATGTACTTACTAGGCTTCTCAGCGTTCAAAGGAGAAAACAGATAGACACCAACTTTATTACATGTTTGTGATAAATAACTGAGATGTAAGAAATTATTAAACGAGCATGAACAAGGAAGAAATTCCTACAGCTACAGACATTATCTTTGCCTCGATGTCAGT